AACAGCTAGAAAGGGCAGGAGGCCAGTTGTCTATCCTTGCAAGGGTGCCCTTTCCAGGGAAACCTGAGGTGTTACCTGCCATAGGTGTGGGGTTTTCTTTGTTTTTAAAAAAATCCAAACCACTTCTTGGGGTCTGTGTGAGACTGAGATGTGGAGGGCAGGGGGCTGGCAAGGAGGAGCCTGTCAGGGCCATGCAGGGTGAGCATGGGCCTGACACTCAAGGCTGACTAGGGAGGCAGGTGGACTCGGGTTCAAATTGCAGCCCACCCCCCGCCGCCAGCTATGTGACTTGGGTGAGTTGCTTCACCTGGCTGAGCTGTTTCCTCATCTGGAAAGTGGCAGTGATGAGAGTACCCACCTCATAGAGTTGTCATGAGATGAACGCCCCTACGGGGCTCAGCGTGGTGCTGAGCAGAGTCTCTCGGAGCTTCAGGGGTGGGGGGGACCTTGCAGATCGCCTCGTCCCGTTCAGTTCAGAGAGGGAAAAGGACTTGCCCAGGGTCACACAGCCAGCAAGGAGCAGAGCTTTCCCAAGCCCAGCTCAGTGCTTCAGCTGCCTCTTAAGGCAGAACCCCAAGGGCCGGGGGTTTGTCTGTTTGTCTAAATAGAGCTGAATAGCAGAGACATTGATTAAAGGATGAAAGGGAGGGAGGGAGCACAGATACACAGTGCTCAAGAATAAACACGCAGTTACTTGTGAGCTTTACTCTGAGCTTCCTGGCAGCCAAAGTGAAAAGGGATCCGTGCTCAGTTATGTAGCTTTCTTTGTCCCCGTTCTTCAGGGGAAATGGACTCAGTAATGCAGTGATGGGTTTCATGAGCCTGGTTTTTATAACTTCTCCCAGCTGGCGCCAAAATGCATGCTGGGTTCCCTGGATGAGGATGGTGAGGAGAGGGTGTTCCCTACAGAGGGGACCTGGAGCAGAGGCCTGGAGGTGTGAACCAACTGGTGTGTTTGAGGGAAGGGCAGGTGGCAGGCCCCTCCCCAGACCCCCTCTGACCTTGTGGGTCTGTCCTTGTCATTTCAGTTGGGCCACGTGGTCCTCTCCCCAGTCTGGTTCCTCTACAACCTGCTCATGAAGCTGTTTCAGCGTCCCACCCCGGCCATCACCCTCGAGAGCCCGGACATCAAGTACCCACTGCGGCTCATCGACAAGGAGGTGAGTGCCAGGCCCCTCAGGGGTCACAGGGCATGGGCCAGCAGAGGCACCTCTCTCCTTGTCAGCATCACAACATTTCCCAGGCACCTACTATGTGCTCAGGACATGGGCCCCTCTGAAGTAGGTCCTATTATCTGCCCATTTTACAGATGGGCAAAGCAAGGCGATGTCCATTTCTATGGCTACCAGTAAGTATCAGGGGATTTGAACCCAGGTCTCTGTGCACAGAGCGCATTCTCAATATCCCACAGAAAGTCGGAGCGGGAGGGACCCCTCAGACTTTTGGGTCCAAGCACCCACTTAATAGGTGTGAAAACAGAGGGCGAGAGAGGAGTAGGGGGCATTCAGGTTACACTGTAAGTTAGAAGTAGACCCAGGACTCAGGCTCAGGCCTCCTGGAGGACCGGGTGCTTCCCATCCCACTGCCCCTTCCTGGAAGATGAGGACCCCTCCCCTNGGCCCTGGCAGGTGTGCCCACTGGGGTTTGTGGCCTGAAGGACTTACTGACAGTGGGGTCCTACCCACAGCTGCCTCCCCAGGTAGGACTTTGTACTTACATGAAGTCCTCCTCTGCACTCTTGATTGCCACATGGTATCTGTGGGCACAGAGAGGCCGTGTGGTATCAGGCTCATTGCATGGACTCCTGGCTCTCAATTTCATTTAAGTTCATTTCCAGGGCTCCCAACAATGGTGATTTCCTGTGGCTATAACTTCACGTAACTTTTCCCTAAACAGTGTTCCCCATGGATGTGGCTTCTCTGATTGACATGGGAGGGGTTTGTAGCAGAGGAATCATCAGAATAGTCCCCACCCCCAGGGAGTGCGCAGAAGGGGGCAAGTGCTGTGGAAGTCTGCTGACAACCTGATTAGCTAGAGAGGTGCCAGTCAGGGAAGATATGACATTTGAGCTGGGTTCTGAAGGATGAATAGGAGTTTGCTGGTTGGCTGAGGGAAGAGAAAGGGCATTGGGGTAGAAGGGAGAATATGCAAAGGCCTGAGGCACGAAGGGCTTATGGCCACACCTTAAGGGCCTGAATGCAGGCCAGTGGGGAGCCATGGTGGGTGTTTGAAGACGGGATGGAGGAGCCTGTTGGTTTGAGCAGCTGGGGCCTCACTGCGGGAGGCAGGGTATCCGATTGTGGTGAGGCAGGGGGCATTTGGGCTGTGGACTCTGTGGCAGAGAGGGCACCTGCCCTGGAAGGTGACTCTGGAGAGGCCGTACTTAGGGCGAGACAGGCCTGGACTTGACTCCTGACCCCTGACTTGTTGCATAACCACGGGCAAGTCACTTAATCTCTCTGAGAAACAGGGACAACAGTATCACTTGTCATGAGTGTGGTCCTCTGAGGATTGGCTTTGGTGTGACTTGGGTTACTGGCCCTCTCTGGGCCTCAGTTTCCTTATCTGTAACTTGGTGATAATCACAGCACCTGTGGTCTAGGGTTGACGTGAGGATTACCCAAGGGAACTCATGGACCACATTTGCTCTGTGCATGGCCTTTTCCTGCCTCATTTCCTCACCAGCCCTAGATGGGACCATCCTCATCCATTTGAGGAAGGTGGGGCCTGGCGAGGTAAGATTCTCTTGTGAATTCCTATGGGACCCTGACCCGGGTCTCTGAACCCCAGAGTCCGGGGCTGCCAACCAGGGCCTTAAATGAGACCCAGGATGGGTGAAATGCCACATGGTGCCTGGAACATGCTACCATGTGCTGGCTAACTGGGCCGGGAGGGAGTCTGCCCATCCATCACAGACAGCCCGTGGGGCAAGGCCTCAGCCGCTCCCAGCCTGGAGGCCCTGCCTGCGAGAGATGCACATTGTTCTGAGCCCAACAAAGGCCTGTAACTGCAGTCGCAACTTGAAGCCTCCGGGCTGGTTTGGGGAGCAGGGGCCAGGCCTGGCGTGAGAGCGTGGCACCTCAGCCCTTCCTTTACTTGGTATTCCAACTCTCAGGTGGTAGCGGCCCCATGCAGGTGGCGGGAAAGGGTCCTGTGTGTGTACCCAACCCCCCGGTTATAAACCACTCTGTGACTTGGGCCACCCCCATCTCATCTCTTACCCAGCTCCCCTAGGAGATGGGCAGGGCAGCAGCTGTCACCTTCCTTCTATAGAAGAGAACACTGAGGCTCAGAGAGGTCCTCAGGTGCTCAGCTGGAGCGCCTTCCCGGGGTTGATAGAGAGTGAAGACCCCTGGCAGGGCGTCCAGGAAGCGGGGAGCAGTGGGGCTGGGCCTTGAGGGGTGAAGATTACGTCCCCTAGCCCCACTAGGGCAGGGGCCACTTCCAAGTCTGTGCCCTGCACAATATGCTACCTCAAGAGCCCTACAAAGGAAGCAGAGAGGCCTCCACAGACGCGAGGATACTGGCTTTAAGCTTCCTGGCAACCAAGGCAAAAAGGGGAACTTGGAGGATTATGATAAGAAGAAGGCACACAGCCTTTTGCTGAGGGAACTAAAGTCAGCGGGGGCGTCTTCACGCCGGTGAGTAAACTAGCTGTGAAACAGGTTTCTGGAGCACTGGTGTTTTCTGTGAACTTTGGGGTCTCAGCCGCACTATTTGAACCACCAGAGTGGTCTTCCCCTATACAACACCCCACTTTCTATTTTGAAATAATTTCAAACTTACAATAAAGTTGCAGGAAGGTACAAAAAGAGCTCTTGTTGACTCTTCACCCAGGTACACCAAGTGTTAACACACACTGCNGAGAGATCAAATGATAATTGGTGAATCTCAGATTTCATTGTATTATTCTTGCAACCTCTCTGTACATTCGACATTTTTCCAAATAAAAAGTCTGAGGGAACACACACCCAGAAAAATATATCAGAAGCAGGAGTGTCTTAAAGACCCTACAGCCTGCGGCCCCTTCTTGGAGGAAAAGCCCACAGGTCACACAGTGAATGGCAGCTGAATCTACCCCACTTGGTTTGAGTCCCAAGAACAGGAGGAGGCCACCTGATCAATGTCATTCGGGTTCTTCTCCCTGTTTACCATCCACTGAGGCCTCCTTACCACCCCTGAAGAGACATCCTGCCTCATAAGGTGCAGGCAGGACCAGGCAGGAGGGGAGAAAAGGGGAAGGCTCAGAGCAAAGAGGACAGGAATAGTAAGTGTCCCTGGAAAGCAACGAGGCCTAGGGTCTCACTCAGAACTTGCAAGCAGGTCCAAACCCCAGGAAGGAACTCTGTTGGGAGTTGAGGCCTGGTCAATAACAGGGGCAAAATAAACACCACTGGATCAGTTCCCTCACCAGGGCTGGGGTCACCCTGAGGACAGGATTGCTGGGCCTGGGACCAAGCCAACTGGAGGGTACAGCTGCAAGGGGTCTCCAGTGACACTGGCGTCATCAGAGTCCAGAGCTCATAGCAGCTGTCCTGACCATGTTGGTGTCCAAAGCAGATAATCCGCCTCCAGTTTTGGCTTCAGTTTCGGCCTTTGTCCACTTGTGTACCAGGTGTGGCCTCCCCGAGTTCCCATGTGGCCATGGACTGGGGTCACACAGCCAAGCAGGAGCCAATGCCAATGCAAGGCCAAGCCTGGCTGGCAGGTTGCTTTTTAGGGAAGCTTCCAAATGTAACCAGGAGTGAAATCTCCTTTTGTTCTTTACTCAGCAAAGTAGTCAGTGGATTGGAGTATAAACACAGGCAAGATCTATTACGGCAAGAGCAAAATGCTTCAATAATTTATGTTGTGAACGATGTTCAATTTTATGTACCTAAACAATTATGAAGATGTTCAAACAGATAAACAAGGAAAGAAATAAAGTTAATATGATCTTAAGAGAGGCAATAATATCACGATAACTTTAGGAGAAAGCTATTTCTTTTTGGAGCCTACAGATATCTAATAATTTAAATGACAATACAAGGCAGAAAAGAGATTCCATCCTAATTCTGATTTTTTTTT